TTCTGTTTTCATCCTCCCCGCCCCTGTCCCTCACCGCCGCCTTCCCCGCAGACCGAGATCATGCGGAACGAGTTCGAGCGCCTGGCGGCCCGGCAGCCCCTGGAGCTGCTCAGTATGAAGAGGTGAGTGGGGCCGGCAGGGCAGTGCCTGTCCCGGGTGAGCCGTGTCCCGGGTGAGCCATGCGTGGTGCCCCAGGTGAGCCGTGCCCTGGGTGATCTGTGCCCGGTGCCCCGTTCCCTTTGCAGGTACGAGCTGCCCGCCCCCTCCTCCGGGCAGAAGAACGACATCACAGCGTGGCAGGAGTGTGTGAACAACTCCATGGCACAGCTGGAGCACCAGGCCGTGCGCATTGAGAACCTGGAGCTCATGTCCCAGCACGGCTGCAACGCCTGGAAGGTGTACAACGAGTAAGGCCTCAGCTGCTCTGCTGAGCACCAAGTTCCGTGTTGAATTTCTGTGTGTTTGTTGGGTGTAAATCTGGTGGGGATCTCTAGAATGTAGCCTGGAATAGATGAAACCCTGTGAGAGAGCTGTGAGTGAAAGAGGAGGCTGTTCTCAAAGCTGTCTCTGTGGCCACGAAACAGAATGTGTTTAATACATCCCACTCTTGAATGTTGTCGGTTATTGTTGATGCTGGTGGGTGTTAATTAAGGCTAGTGATAGCCTGTGAAGAAATAACTCACTAGTGGAAATGGAGATGAGTTACTACAAATCCTGGGCTTAGCCTGGAGCCATAATAAAGCTGGTGCAAAAGCCAAGAAGAGGTTGTAGAGTATGGCTGCAGGAAGTACTGGGGTTAATTCAGATAGAGAATGTTGATGTCCACTTTTGAGAAGGGTTGGCTGAGCCTTAGATAGAAGAGTAGGTCAAAGAAATACCAAACGTAGCTCAGGGAGGAGGCAGAGGGTTCCTGAGCTCAGGAGAAGGGAAGCAGGTAAAGGATCTGCTGGCTGGGACAAGGTGCTGCATGGGCTTGTTGAATCCTGAACTCGGAGAAGTTAAATGTCAGATGAAATGGGGCTGAAATTTGAGCACTTGTGTGGTTTTTAATGCTTTGCTTGCATTCTGTCATCAGGCATCTGGTTCATATGATAGAACAAGCCCAGAAAGAGCTTCAGAAATTGAGGTGGGTCGTTCTTATTTATATTTTTGTACTGAAATTGGAAGTGAACCTTTCTGTCCCCCCAAGCTGTACAAAGGAAGATGTGTATGCTGGCTGGTGCCATGGTCACAGGGAAAAAGACCCAGTAAAAACAATGATGAAGAAATGTGACCCTGCCTTCCCCAGTCCCATTCATCATGTCTGTTCTACTCAAAATTCTGTGTTCGATTTGTTTAAACCTCTGCTCTGGATTTGTGGAACCCTCCCTGAAATGTAGCAATGCTTTCATTTCACTACTGATAATTTAGTGTGCAGTTGTCTCTGTAAGGACATCTTCCCTGATGTTGGGTTTGGCCTTTTATTTATCTCAGGGTTCTCTGTGAGCCCTGTACTGAGATTTGTCCATCTGGATGTTGTCATTACACTCCTGGCTACACAAATATTTTCTGGCAGTAGTTCTAGGGATTGAGTGTACTTGGAAAGTAGCAACAGGTACTGCAGATGCCAAAGAAATGAGGAAATAAAAATGCATCCTTTTCTCCCCAGGAAAAACATTCAAGACCTGAACTGGCAGAGGAAGAACATGCAGCTCACAGCTGGGGCTAAGCTGAGAGAGATGGAATCCACGTGAGTATTGACATTTCTCTGTTAACTCTTCCACAGCTTTCTCCATTGCTTGAAATTTACTTGAAATTCTTCTTCCACTTGAAATTCAGTGATCCTTTGGTGCTGCTGTAGGATACTGTTGCTTTGCAGGAAGTGTTTTAAAGTATTTGTAGTTTGGTTCCATATTATATTTACTGAGATTGAGTGAATCAACAGGTAGGAAAAGAGTATATTTATTAGCTGCTTCAAATTTCCTAAATTGTCTTAAACTGTTCTTTTTCTCAATATTGGCAGTTGGTGGATGAGTCTAGTCATTACATTGTTTGTGTTTTCAGGTTTAACAGGGTTAAAAATTATTCATTGTCACTTCGGTTGTTCCAATGACCATTGATGTCAACTATAGCATTATTTAGTATTTCTGCTTGATTTGGAAGAATGGTTGTCTTTGATTTTTAACCAGAGGATGTCTACATAACACCTAAAGGCTCTTTTTATTTCTTTTCCCTTCCAGGTGGGTCTCTCTTGTCAGTAAAAATTATGAGATTGAACGAACAATTGTGCAGCTGGAAAATGAAATTTCACAAATCAAGCAGCAGCATGGGGAAGCAAACAAGGAGAATATCCAGCAAGACTTTCAGTGACTTAATCCTGACTTAGTGCTGCATGTGTTAAAAACTACAAACCAGACACTTTGGAAATGCTGTCTCTGTAGACACTTCTAGTTGTAGATGTGTGAGGTGGTAAAAGAATATTTCCATCATTTCTTTTTCTTGTTTTAAATTCTAGAAGGAAGGAGGGTGGATTCAAAACATCCCATTTAAATGTGTCACAGGCACCACTCAATGTACTGTGAATTGTTTCACTTTTTATATACTTAAAGCAGGAGCTGGTGTTGTTGTGTTTTCCCCTATGCCTTTAATAAATCCTGTTTTGCTATTTCTCTGGTTTCTGCTCCATGTCTAAAGCCTGGGGGCTGTGGAGGACGTGGCTGGGCCAGGTGAACCCTGAGAATCTCCTGCAGGGGAAGTGGTGGGAAACTGGAATTTGTGGTGGGGAAGTCTCTCTCTGCAGCACTGGGCCGTGCAGTGCCCACTCTGGTGCCACTGTCACTGCAGTGGGCCCCAGCTGGGTAATAATTAGCATTGACTCCATGTATCCCAGAAGGCTGATCAATCTCTTTATTACATTATATCATTATTAAGAAACTCATTGCTTTTATAGACAGTTATGATACAGATTGACCTAATTGGTCCTCCAGTCCAAACACCATCAGCATTGGCTAATTAAGAAACCACCCTTTGGTACACAAATCTCCACAACACATTCCACATGTTCACAATACCAGCTGCAGCAAGTGAAGATAAGAACTGTTTCTCATTCTTTTCTCTGATCTCACAGACTTTCCCCAGGACCATGCCTGGGCAAGTTGTGTTTCTCTCTGTAGCCAGAGAGCTGCTGCCACATGCCACCACCCGCACTGTTCCTCATCCCAGGGTATAACTCCTGATCATCCTGGTCCCACTGGCTGTTCCCTGTCCCCATGCTCTGACTCCCATCCTGATGCACTGCTCCATGCCCCAGTTTCCTTTTCCCTATGCCGGTGTGCCATTCCCCATCCCACTGCTCCATTCATCATCCCAGGGTGATATTCCCAATCCAGGTCTGCTGTTTCCTGTCCTGGTGCCCTGTTCCCCATTCTGGTCCATTATCCCCCATCCTGGTCCCTATACCCATTTCCCATGGTCATTCCCCATCCCCGTGCTTTGCTCCCTATCCCAATGGGTTATTCCTCCACTCCAGTGCATTATTCCCTTTCCCAATGTGTTATTCCCTATCCCAAGGGGTTATTCCTCCACCCCAGTACATTATTCCCTATCCCAATGGGTTATTCCCCCATCCCTACTGCATTATTCCCTTTCCCAATGGGTTATTCCCTATCCCAATGCCCCATTCCCCCACCCCACTGCATTATTCCCTTTCCTAATGGGTTATTCCCTCATCCATAGTGCAGTATTCCCTATCCCAATAGGTTATTCCTCCACTCCGGTGCATTATTCCCCATCCCAATGTGTTATTCCCTATCCCAAGGGGTTATTCCTCCACCCCAGTGCATTATTCCCTATCCCAGTGGGTTATTCCTCCACCCCAGTGCATTATTCCCTATCCCAGTGGGTTATTCCTCCACCCCAGTGCATTATTCCCTATCCCAGTGGGTTATTCCTCCACCCCAGTGCATTATTCCCTATCCCAATGGGTTATTCCCTATCCCAATGGGTTATTCCCTATCCTGATGCCCCATTCCCCCACCCCGGTGTGTTATTCCCTGTGCCAATGGGTGATTCCCCTTCCCGGGGCGTTATTCCCCAGCCCACTGGGTATTCCCCGCTTCACGCGTGATTCCCCGTCCCGGTGGGTCATTCCCCTCCCGCAGGGGTTATTTCCCAGCCTGTGTGTGTCATTTCCCGTCCGGAAGGGTTATTCCCCACCGCGCTGCGGTATTCCCCCTCTCGATGGGTATTTCCCAGCCCGGTGCGTTATTCCCCAGCCCGCTGCGCTATTCCCTATTCCCGGTGCCCTGTTCCCCGTTCCCGGTGCGCTATTCCCTATTCCCGGTGCCCTGTTCCCCATTCCCGGTGCCCTGTTCCCCGTTCCCGGTGCGTTATTCCCCACCCTGGTGCTCTGTTTCCTATTCCCGGTGCGTTATTCCCCAGCCCGTTGCGCTGTTCCCTATTCCCGGTGCTCCGTTCCCTATTCCCCGTGTGCTGTTCCCTATTCCCGGTGCCCGGTTCCCTATTCCCGGTGCTCTGTTCCCTATTCCCGGTGCGTTATTCCCCAGTCCGGTTCCCTATTCCCGGTTCCCTGTTCCCTATTCCCGGTGCGTTATTCCCCAGTCCGGTTCCCTATTCCCGGTTCCCGGTTCCCTGTTCCCTATTCCCGGTGCTCCGTTCCCTGGTGTGTTATTCCCCAGTCCGGTTCCCTATTCCCGGTGCTCCGTTCCCTATTCCCGGTGCGTTATTCCCCATTCCCTGTTCCCTATTCCCGGTGCTCCGTTCCCCATCCCCGTACCCGGGGGCGTTCCCGAGGGGGCGTGGCCACGCCCCTGCCTCCACCACCGCCCAATAGGCTCTCACCCCGGGGCTCAGAGCCCCGCCTCCCAGTGACGTCACGACCCGCCCTCGCGGCCGCGCCGTTGCCGCGGGAGCGCGCGCGCGTGCGCGGCGCCGTTCCCGCCCGGTCCCGCCCGGTGACGCGGTGACGCGGTGACGCGGAGCGTGCGCGGAGCGGGGTCGGGTTCAAAGGAGGAAACATGGCGGAAAACAAAGGAGGCGGCGGCGGCGGGGACGCGGCCGCCGAGGCCGCGCCGGGCGGCGGCGGCGGTCTGGAGCCTCCCGCCGGCTCGCCGTCCGCCGCCGCGCCGCCCGAGGAGCGCGAGAGCCCCGGGGCGGCGGCGGCGGAGCGCGGCGGCGGCGAGGCCGAGGCCGAGGCGGCGGCGGGGCCCGGTGCGGCGGCGGGGCCCGGCCCCAGCCCGGTGCCGCCGCTGACGCCCGCGGCGCCGGGGCCGTTCTCGCTGCTGGACACGTGCGCGGTGTGCGCGCAGAGCCTGCAGAGCCGGCGGGAGGCCGAGCCCAAGCTGCTGCCCTGCCTGCACTCCTTCTGCCGCCGCTGCCTGCCCGAGCCCGAGCGCCAGCTCACCGTGCCCGTGCCCGGCGGCGCCAACGGCGACGTGCAGCAAGGTGAGCGCGGCGAGCGGGGCTCCGCCGGGACATCCCGCCGCCAGCCCGCCCCAGCGCGGGGCTCCCCCGGGCTGGCCGGGCCCGCCGGGAGCGCGGTGTGCTGCGGGAGGCAGCGGCGGCGGGGCTCGGGAGTGTCGGGATCGGGAGTGCCGGGATCGGGACCGCAGCGGCGGCGGGGCTCGGCAGTGTTGGGATCGGGACCGCAGCGGCGGCGGGGCTCGGCAGCGCTGGGATGGAAATCGTGGCCGGGGGTTTCCGTCGCGGGAGGGAGGGAGGGACGCGGACCTGTTGGAGCGGGCAGAGTTGCTCGGAGGGTGGAGCAGCTCCGCTCCCAGGGAAGGCTGGGGGGATCGGGATCGTTCAGCCCGGAGAAAAGAACCTTCTTCCTCTCTCCAGGGAGACCCTAAAGCCCTTCTCGCTGCCTAAAGGGAATCTGTAATAAAAATGGGGGCAGTGTTTTTGGCAGCACCTGTTGCGATAGGGCTGGGGATAATGGTTTTAAACTGGAGCAGGATCGGTTTAGATTAAGTGCAAGAAAGAAATGTTTACCATGAGGGTGTTAAAACATCGGAACAAATTGCTCAGGGAGGCGGTGGAAACATTCAGTGTCAGGCTGGACCAGACTCTGAGCAACCTGCTCGAATCTAAGATGTCCCTGCTTGTGACAGGGGAGGGTTGCACTAATGACCTTTAAAGGCCCTTTCCAACCCCAAATATTCTGTGATTCCCTCCTTCTGTCTGTTTTGTTTTGGCTCTCAGGTGACACAGGGAGGCGAGTCAGGAAGGGGGTGGGCAGCTGCTGGGGTGAAGCGTGTCTGGTTAAATTGAGATTCACTGTGGCAGTATTACCTGCCCAGGTGGGAATGCTGTGTGCACTGCACCTGCTTTGCTGTGCGCTGAGATAAAACCTTGTGGTGCTGTTTGTCAGCTCTGCCTCTACAGGACTTGTACCAGGGAACAGGAGTACACTGCTCCTTCCACCTGTTCTTAGCAGAACCACAGCTTGGGTTTGAGTTTTCTTTTCTAATATGTGTTCAGGGATGGAATTGGAAAGCTTCGGGAGCTTTAGATGGGGTGACTCATGGGGCTGTGGTGTGCAGAAAAGCAGGGCCCTAGTAAGTGGTTTTGCAGGTCCTAAATGGGCTCCATGGTCAGGGAGACCTTGTTTGGTGACATCTTTGCACTCAAGCCCTTCCTGTGTTCCCCAGTGAAAAAATTAACCTGGCATGGTAGAGATATTTTTCATCCAGACTGTTCAGAAGTCCATATAGGATGTGATCTTAGAAAGTTCATTGGTCTTAAAAAAATTATGTATTTAAATACAGTTTGCCAATACACTCAGTAAAGCACTCAGATGGTCTTGTGATCTGTGTTTTTAAATTCTAGATTCTACATTTTGTGTTAAATCATAGAGTGACAGAGTGATTTGGTTTGGAGGGGATTTTAAAGCTCATCCAGTGCCACCCCTGCCCTGGGAAGAGACAACTTCCATTGTCCCAGGTTGTTCCAAGCCCCATCCAGCCTGGCTTTGGACACTCCCAGGGGTCCAGGGGCAGCCACAGCTGCTCTGGGCACCCTGTGCCAGGCCTGCCCACCCTCACAGGGCAGTGATATGCAGTGAAACACACAGAACTTGGGAAGCAGGGTTTCTTTTAATTAGCAGGATTATCTTCAGTCCTGCTGTGTCTGTGGGAGGTATCCTCCCCACAGGTGTGGGAACCACTGTGTACAAACTGGAATATCACTTCTTGTTGTACACATTTTAAGAATGCTTTTTGGTGTGATTTGGTGTAGAAAGAGATCATGTTTGGACTGTTGGAATAAAATGTTTTGGGTGATGTGAACAAGGTGCAGGGGTCTGGAGCATCTTAGATGTCAGGAAAGACTGTGGGGCTGAGGCTGTTTAGGCTGGAGAAGGGAAGACTGAGAGGGGATCCCATCAATCCGTAGGAATATTTCCAGGCTGGGTCAGAGGATGGTGTCAGGCTCTTTCCAGTGGTGCCCAGGGCAGAACAAGGAGCAGTGGCCATAAATTCTAACACAAGGAGCTCCACCTGAATGAGAAAGAAATTCTTTCATGGAGGGTGGCAGAGCCCTGGAGCAGCTGCCCAGGGAATGGGTGGAGTCTCCCTCTCTGGACACATTCCAAACCCACCTGGACACATTCCTGTGTGTCACCTGCTCCAGGTGGCCCTGCCTCGGCAGAGGGCTGGACTGGGTGATCTGCAGAGGTGCCTTCCAACAGAGGTACTGTTGTGGGAGTGTCCTGTAGGGCTGTGGATCCAGCTGTGGTGGCACCTCAGCCTCCACCAGCACAGGAACTGGCAGCTATATCCTCATGGCTCTTCTTGTTCCCTGGGTATTTATGGTATTTAATCCTTGTTTCCTTAGGGAAATAGCAAATACTTTTGGGCCAAAATTTGGCTGGAGTCTAATATTTCCAATTTCTAGAGGGAATCTCCTGGGGGAGTTTTAAAGAAAAATTTGTTTCTATTATATTTGGTGCTTTCCAGTTGGGATAAAAAGTACACCCTGAAATACAGTAGGACTGGCTCATCCTCAGCTGAGGATGGGCCATGGACCAGCAGAGGCATTTTTGTGGGCAGCTTGAGAGTGGAATTGGTTGAGTGGCACGGGAGATGGTTACCAGCAGATCAGATAGAAAATGGACATTCTGAGCCTCCTGAGAAGCACTACAGTGCTTTGTCACGCAGGTTCCTTCCCCGTTCTGGCAGTCACAAAGTGTGAAGTGTTACTTCCACTTCTGCTGATTCTCAAGTCTCCTTCATGACGAGCAGGTGTTTTTTCATGAGGGAAGAATGAAAGAGAAGTGGAGCCTGTAGCTGTACCTGAGGCAGGTTACACCTTGCTGCAGGCTCTCACTGCTGCATTGTGTCCCTGCCATCTTTCTGCATCTCTTCACATAAACCAGAAAAGTACAAGTGATATTTTCCTGGCTGCTTTCTTAATTAGTTTGAGAGTTTGCTCAGTGAGAGCTGTCAGGACTTAAAACAGTAGATATGTGTATTTATTGGGTAAAAGCTGTGGAAATGGAATGTGAGGTTGGTGCCCACAGGGCAGTTCTCTGAGTGACAGCACCTTCCTGCTGGAGCTCCCTCTGCCCTCCTGGACAGAGTGGTGCTGGGTCTGGGGCAGCATCTCTGCTCCCTTCAGAGCCACTGCTAAAGAAGGCAGAAGAATCATCTCAATTCCTAAAAGTTAAAGAACTCCTAAACTAAAGCTTAAAACAATTATCTGAAGTTGTGGTTTGCTGTATTAAAAACAAGTTCTTGGTGGGTCATACCTATTTTGCTGGTGAAGAAGGTTTATTTTGCTGTTGATTACATTTATGTAGGAAAAAAAGAGAAGAGTCTTTGTTTCATATATTTAAAGCATATGCATTTGTTTAACATGAAAAGTAGCATCTCATATTCAGTTTAATTTCTTAATTGGTTGTGGGAATGTGCATTTTATTTGGTGGATAGATGATTTTGTATGGTGTTTCAGCTGCCCAGCTGGACTCCTCCTTTCAGGTTGAAGAGGTTTCAAGAAAATGCCTGCATTTGTATCACAGTATTCTGAAAAACAAAAGCTGACTTCAAAGTTAGAGGTTTCAGGCTGTAACAGATACTGTAAAACAACTTTTCCTGCACCCACTGCTCCTGCTCCTGGAGGAGAGGTTGTTTTGTGGTTTCACTGCCTGGATGAGATATTTACAATCTCTCTAAAGAAGATTATCTGAGTAGAGAGAGCTTAGAGCTCTCCCAGCTCCTTGGGAATGTCACAATTATGATTAGGCTGAAAAACCAAATGAGCTGAAAACCCTCCAGAGTTGGTTGTGTGTGTAAACCGAGGAACAACACATTTACTACCCAGAGCTGTGATGTACCAGAAACTGGTTTGATGTGCTGAATCCACCTCCTGCACCCAGTGTTGCTGTGTTGTATTAATCACACCTGAAGTTTTTTGGTTTTTTTAATTTGCTGTGAGAGGAGGACATAAAAGGTCTGATGTGTATGAGGATGTGGCATGTCCCTTACACTGAGTTTGGTGGTAGTTACTGTATTTTCAGTCAAGAAGAATGAAAATTCCTGCATAAAATAAGGCTCTTTAAGCTGTGTGAAGGCAGCATCTTAAGTTTTATTAAACTGGATGTGAGTAGACATCGCCTGAACTCTCTTAATGCTTTACTTTTCTTCTGTGTTCTTAAGTGAGACTCATAAATATATGCTGGAGCCCAGCATGAGTCTGGAAAATGTTCAGTTCATGTTCTGGGCTTACTAAAAATCTTGCTGTGAAACTTAAATTTCAGTCCAAATTATTAGTGTATTGTAAAATATTTCCATCAGGGAACATTAAGGCATGTGTTACTTTTATAAGAATTAATATCTGTGGCAGCTGTAATTTTTTTTTATTATTACATATAATGTATTGTCAGTTCAGTGTGTGATAATTGCCATAGAGTCAAGGATTGTTCAAAAAACAAAAAAACTGAGTTAGGAGTGGACCTTGAAAGCACATAATTTTTTAAAATGTATTTTTATTCTGACAGATTTTAATCTGATTGTATCACTCCCTTGACCTGTGAGGGTTTGTTTCAAGGTCTAATTACTGAAATTAGAGCAGGTTTTGATGTATGGCTGTGCAGAAACATGCTTGGACCCTTGCAGCGCTAAGAGAAATAAATATTATGCACGTGGAGTAACTACTATTGGAGTTGTCACCCAGTAAATGGGACCTGGCAGAGATTCATTCCTGAGAGGGCTGGTGCCAAGCCTGAGCTGGAACGGAAGCTGGAGTTACTGGATTGCACAAGTGTTTGCAAATATTTCCTGAACTGGGAAGTTTTGTTGTCATTGTGATGCCTTGAGAAGGCTGAGCTAGAACAGAGACCAGACAGAGTTAAAAAATAAAGTACAGATTTATTAAAAGGCCTCAATGGATCCACCTTGGGCAGCACAAGAGCCCAGCCAGGGCTGCACCCAAGATGAACCAAAATG